ATACGGAAATATTTTAGAAAAAAAAAATTATAACATACAAAACATACTTTGATTTTAAAAAATTATATATATAAAAAAAATGTCATCGTTCAATTTTATAAATTAAACCTTCATGGGTCGTTGATCTCGTCACAAGCGCTCTTTACTAATCGCCAGAGAAGAAAACGACACGCATGGAAGTAATAATCGTCTGTGCTCTCGATTAAATTCGATAATTTAATTTATTTACTTCATAAGACACTAGAAAATTCTTCAATTATCTTTGACAATATTACTTTTTCATTTGTAATTGAAAGAATCAGAAAAAAATAATAAATTAATGAGCTAGTGAGGGAGAGAAAAAAATGACAATTTTTTTTCTTAGTATGCAAAAGCAGCGATATTATAAATGTATATATTTTCTAGTTCTTTTTTTACAATTTCTTGAAGGATTTAGTTTTTTTTTGTTTTTCAATTAATAGTGGGCAATATGATTAATAGAAAATCATGAGGGAAAAAAAATATTTTTAAACACATTTTTTAAAAATTTTTAGCTAAGTTCAGAATCTAGTGAATTAGTGGCGATGGCGGAAATAATTTACTAAAAAATTTTTATATTTTGACAATTTTCAAAATCTGGAAAACCGCATGGTCAAAGGCAAAAATGGTTTCGGACCAATAGTCATGGTTCTCTACTTTTTGACCATGGGCAAAAATATATCAATTTTTTGGGTTTAAAATATTTTTGCCACTGACCATCGTTTTCCATATTTTTACCACAGTTAAAATATATAAATTTTCAGGGTTTTAAATATTTATGTCATTAGCCATGGTTTGCTAGATTTTATCCATGGTCAAAAATATACAAATTTTGTGGGTTTAAAATATTTTTGTCATTGTCCATGGTTCGTTAATTATTAATAAAAAATTAATTGAAAAAAATTCATTTCAAACACAAAGAAATTTTTCGACGTTAGAGAAAGGATGTTTGTCATAATAGAAGGAAATGTTTCCATTGTTCAGTGAATCACATTCTTTGAATTTAAGAAATATTTTTTTTCATTGTTAGAAAGTTTTTTTTTATTATTTATTTTTTTACTTGGTACAATATTTTTAAAAATTTATTTAAACAAATGTTAAATAATAACAAATATTTTTAATAATTTGTTTCACTTTTCTTCTTTTTAACAAAAGAAACTTTATAAAATTTTTTTTAGGTATAAAATAATTGTTATATTTCAATTAAAAAAAGTGTAAAGAAATATTTTTTTTTTAATATTTTTTTCCCATAAAATTTTATAAAAACTCACATTTAGGATGAATATTTTTTTTTTCTTTCGAATGCAACAGGAATGTTCTCACTAACACAAAATCACAACAATGACTAGAAGAAGTTGAGATGGCATCATGTGGACAACATACCCGTAGCCAACATCCCCATTCTCTGGTGGGTCTCTCTCCATCCCCACTTAATTTCAAACTACCCGGCTTTCTTTGTGAGAATGAACCTTTCCAAAGTAGTTATAAAGCCTAGGGTTTATTTCAACGATGAAGGACGTTGTTATTATTATTATTATCATCGTCATCGTCTATATGCGCGCATACTTTTAAATTACACTTGGAATATTCATTCGGACATATTATATTATGAATATGTTTGACACAAATGTAAACCCTTTTAAAAATTGTCACTTGCGTAATTTATGCACAATTTATGCTCTCTTTCATTGGATGATTGCTTCCAACTGTACGAATACGATAACAAACATTAGATTTCTAGGTGTTATCAATTTTATATTTTTATGCATTTTTCCTTTAGTAACATTTTAAACAAAAAAAAGAAAAGCATTTTTTTTAAATTTTCAAAAGTTTGTTGCTAAAATTTTGAACTTTGAGCAAAGAATGTTAAACCATGCGAAGAAAAATTTTTTGTTTTATATTTTCAAACCATGGGCACAGTACGGCGAACAATTTTTATATTTTCAAACCATGGGTTAAGAATGTCGAACCATAGAAAAAAACAATATTTTTTTATATTTTTAAAATTTTGACAATAAACTTTAAAAATATAAAAAAACTTTTTTTCTTACTATACTTTGCCATACTTCGCCTATGATTCAAAAATAGAAAAATTGATTATTTTTTTATATTTAATTCATTAATTTTCTAAACAAAAAAAAAAAAACTAAAAATTGTTTTTAATTGATTAATTAGAATTATTATTCAATTAATAAATTTTTAATTTGTCAATAATTATAAAAATGTGTCGAATAAAAAAGTTAAAAAGTTAAAGTCAGAAAATTAAAAGAAAAACATTTTTAAAATCTGGAAAAGTTTAATAATTCTTTTAGTTTCTAAATAAAGCAATAAAAACCGAATTAAAAGAATTATTTTTAATATGAATTTTTCAAATTAATTTTTAAAAAGAATGACTAAATTTAAAAAATTTAAAAATTTGAAGAAAAGTTAAAACAAATTTTTAAATCATTTAAAAATAAAAATAGTTAATCATTAAAAAGAAAAATACTTCCTCTATGAGGAAGTAATTTTATAAAATATTAAAAACTTGAAGTACAATTATTGTTTTATTTTCCTAATAAAAGGAAAATAAATTTCTAAATAAAACATAAGCCAAATTGTATTTATTAGTTTCAATCCGTTTTTCTATTAGTTTTGTTAACAATTGTAATATTTATCTTAAATTTACATTTTAATGAAATTTTTTCATGTAATTATTGTAATTGTAAATTGTAATATCTAATATGTAAACTTTAATAATTATCTTTCCCCCATACATAAACTAATTAAAATCAATAAAAAATTAATTTTTTTTAATTGGTTTTTCAATATTTAAGAAAAATAATTTGTAATCAATTTTAATTGCATTTTTTCTCTTCTTTTTTTCCATACACATGAAGATTAAAAATTTTATTAATGAATTTTTTTCGTATAATCAATAAAAATCTTACAATCATTAATAAAAATATTTCGTATAATCGAATAAACATCTTACAATTATTAATAAAAATATTACCAAAAACTTTTTTAATTTTAAAAAGAAAAATAAAGTAAATCATTTTGTAAAAATATTTTTTTTTAATTTTTCCGAAAACAATATTTTTTCTAATAAATTTTTCACGAAATAATTTAAAACACTCACAGTATAAGAATTTCATGATCATAGTCTCATAAAAATAAATATAATGAAAAGAAAATTTTAATGACAGATTATTTTTAAAAATTTACGACTATCATCTAAAAAATGTGTTTCATTGCGATGTCATTGGTTTTTCAATATATATTGTACATTTGAATACAAAAAACCGGTTTCACGGAAGTTTACAATATAAACCTTGAAAATGCACTTTAACAAGATCATCTGTCAGGGAGAAAGAATATTGGGAAAATTTTTATTCATATGTAAGAAATATTTTATTAGAGAGTAGAAAAGAGAAAGGATTGTATTTAGAATAATCCACAATTTTTTTTTCTTAAATCAAAATGTTTTTGTCACTCGACAAAAAAAAACAGGTTACGATTGAGAAATAATAATAGATATATTTATAAGATATGATAATCTTAAATCCCTTGAGAAATATTTTTCCCAGTTGGTAAAATATTTTTCCAATCTTAGAATTTAATTTTTATATACAAAAATTTTAATTTGATACAAAAAAAAAAAAAAATATACAAATAAAAATAGTTTTTATTTATATTTACTTTTTTTTACCTCTTCTCAAAATGCAAAAAAAGGACGAAATGAATAAAGATGACAAATATTTAATATCTGAAGAATTTTAATTACACATTGAATAATATGAATATTTAACTGATTTCTTCACATATGTATATTAAGAAAGATCAACATATTTTCATTTCTGTGATACAAAATAATATCAAAAAAAATATATAAATACTGTTTGGAATGACTTTTCTTAATTGAAAACAAAAATTGTTTTTCGAATTTTTTACATTAGTTTTTTTAAACCAATTTTTTATTTTCTTCTGAGTACAAAAAATTATTTTCAAAATATTGTATTTTAATTTATTTTTAATTTCTATTCATAGTAGAGAATTAATAAATTAATAAAACTATAATAAATGAAATCGATTAATTAATTATAATAATAAAAATTTTCTTTAAAAAGGGGAAATATTTTTTTCTAAATTTCTGATAAATAGAAACAATTAGATAAATCATAAATTGAATATCACTCTGCAGACCTATGATGATAATTTAAATGCGAATTTTTAAAAATATATATCCTTTGTTTTTGTTATATTATCTGAATTCTTTTTTTTTTTTTTTGATAATAAAAAATGAGTAGTTGGATTGAAAATTGAATAAAAATGTTTCTTGTCAATACTTATTAAAGATGAGGATACTAGCGGTTAATGAGATTTTATGGCTTCAATTGAAAAAAGCGTAAAATAACATCGCGACTTTTATTTCTCAAAAAAAAAGAAGTTGAAAATTTTTCTTTTGTAAAAAAAAGAGAAAATTTAGTATCGAATTTTTAGGAAAACAGTTTTTTTTTATATAATCTTAAAAAAATAAGTTTTAAAATAAGTTTTTTGATAAGGAATAATAACTGAAAAAATGCGAATCCATAAGAAAATTATCATCTCCAAGATTAGATTTTGTTCCGACAAGAAAAATATTTTGTTTGTTGTTTGAAAAAAAGTATATTTTTATATTAGTTTCATTCAAAAGGGAACAAATAATTCTTAGATTAATAAAAAATTTTCTTATATTTTTAAGAAAGAAAATACTTAACATAGAAAATATGTAAAATATTAAACGTTTAGCATATTGAACATTAAAATATCGTAAACATTTAACATAGTAAATTTTTCAATTTATATATTTTAAATTAAAAAAAAATATGCTTTTAATTTATATAAATAATTAATATTTCGTTGATATAAAAACAAAAAAAAAATGACAAAGAAAATAGATTTAAAATTAAAAAATTATAAATTGGAAAAATGAATATTAATTTATGCATATTTCTACTTACGCCCACGTTCTAAAATAAACACTTTATTTTAAAACAGAAAAACAGACGCCACGTGTGTTTCTTCTATATGGAAAAATTCCTCCAATGTTGATAAAACAAAACAAATGTGAAAAAAATTTTATATTTCTAAAAGATTAAATATACATTTTAGGTAGATTTTTGAAAATTAGCGCGTATCACGAATAAGGCAATTAAAATATTTTTTTTTTTAAATTCACGTTAACATTCTACAATGCACTTCAAGGGAAGACTAATCGTGAATACGTCCAAGTCTGTTCTATAAACCTCATACGTCTCCCACTCTTTCTGGCGGGCTTCACATCAGATGTACTTATAACAAAATTACAGATGTCTTTTCATTCATATATTTAATTTGTAAATTTTATTCTTAAAATTCAATTTTTTGTAGATTCACATGATTAAAGTCCAGTAAAAAAGTTTATTTATTTTACTGAAGAAAAAAAAGAAAATTTAAAAATGAAGTACCTAAATATATTTTTAAATTTACGATTTTTATTTACTTATTTATTATTTTTAATTTATGATAGTTTAATTAATTTTATTTTGTAAATTGTTCGTAATTTAATAAATTTTACATAAATAATAAATTTAAATAAGTAATTGTTCTTCATTGTTTAAATGCAATTGGCAATAAATTTTTTTTTTTGATCTAAAAAAAACTTACAGGACAAAAAATGTTCATTTTTAAATCAAGAATTAGGAAAAATTGTTAAAAGCTCTGTTTAAACAAATTTTTGTTTGTTTAAAATTTACCTAAAAAAAATAAAAAAATTTTGTATTGTCAATTGCATTTAAACAATGAAGAACTTGTTTTTTGAATTTATTATTTGAATATATTGAAAGTAGAAAACATTAGCTTTGAAATGAGACCTTAACCAACTTAAAAAGTTAATTAAGATAAATCTTTACTAGAACTTGATATAAAAAATTTTTTGTAATGTCTATATTTGCCGTAGGGTGGGCAAATCCTTTTGAGCGGCACTGTATATTCAAAATTTTATAAAAAATTTAAAACTCAGAAGTTTTTTGGGTCACTGATTATAAATCCAATGTCTGTTTTTCAAAACACAAAATGTATTTACAAGAATCAATCATGTGAAGGTCACTGAACAAAATAAACAGAATAAATTCTTTCTTTGACTTTTTTCAAATTTTTAATTTTCTGATACGATCGGTTGGGTCATGAAAAAAATTCGCAATGATAATATTTTGAAGACCTTCAATCAGTAATAAATGGTTATTAATGTAAAATCTCTCTAAAATCGTAGAAATTTGGTATTTGGTAAGTAAAAGTTGCAAATTTCTACGATTAATACTTAAAAATATAAAAAATGCAAAAAATTTTTTTCTAAAAAAAATTTGTATATTTTTTTCTGATTCTACATGTAAAAATGAACAATTTATGTTCTTAAAAAATTTTTTTTAAACGAACCGTTTTTGAGTTATTAACAATTGAAAAAAATGGCTAATTTTTTAAACAAATGATCATATTATTCTTAAAAATTATCGTAAAAAATTTTTAAAAAATGCGTTTTAAAGATGTTAAAACCAGCTTTCAAATGAAAACTGCGATTAACATGCGATGATTTTCTAATAAACTGTATCACTTTAAAAAAAACCAAAAAAATTAAAAAATTTTATGTTGCAATAATATTTTTTAAACATTAAGGGGAGAGTGGGGCAAACCGGACCCCCTAACGGTTTTTTGACTCTTGTGACTAAACGAATCAACCGATTTCATTTTTCGATGGCTTGTTTGAAAGATCATTCAATTGCGCAACTTTTTCCCCGAGATACCTATACTTTATCTTTTATTGTTTAGTTGCTGTTTGCCCCACAGGCCCATTTTGAGAATATATGTTTGTCAAAAAGAAACGCTTTGCAAATTCATCAAAGTTTTTGGTGGTAAATATTCCTGAGGAGTGTACCTTCAGAATCTAAGACCTAATATTTGGAAACATTATACGATTTTCTCAAAATTTCCTTAAGAAAAAATTCGTAAAAGCTTATTTATCGATTTTAACAAAATCTACCCGGCGCAACTAATTTATTTATCGATTTTGGCCAAATCTGCCCGGCGCAACTAATTTATTTATCGATTTTGACCAAATCTGCCCGGCGCAACTAATTTATTTATCGATTTTGACCAAATATGCCAGGCGCAAGTAATTTATTAATCGATTTTGACCAACTCTGCTTAGCCCAACTAATATATTTATCGATTTTGGCCAAATCTGCCAGGAGCAACTAATTTATTTTATGATTTGAACAAAATCTGCCCTGCGCATTTTTTTTATTTATCGATTTTAGCCAAATCTGCCAGGCGCAACTAATTTATTTTATGATTTTAACAAAATCTGCCCGGTGCAATTAATTTATTTATCGATTTTGACTAAATCTTTCAGGCGCAACTAATTTATTGTATGATTTTAGCCAAATCTGCCAGGCGCAACTAATTTATTTTATGATTTTAACAAAATCTGCCCGGCGCAAGTAATTTATTTATCGATTTTAACAAAATTTGCCAGGCGCAACTAATTTATTTATCGATTTTGGCCAAATCTGCTAGGCGCAACTAATTTATTTATCGATTTTAACATAATCTGCCCGGCGCAAGTAATTTATTTATCGATTTTGACCAAATTTGCCCTGCGCAACTTTATTTTATGATTTTAACAAAATCTGCCCGGCGCAAGTAATTTATTTATTGATTTTGACCAAATTTCTCCGGCGCAACTAATTTATTTATCGATTTTAACAAAATTTGCCCTGCGCAACTACTTTACTTATCGATTTTGACCAAATCTGCCCGGCGCAATTAATTTATTTATCGATTTTGACTAAATCTTTCAGGCGCAACTAATTTATTGTATGATTTTAGCCAAATCTGCCAGGCGCAACTAATTTATTTTATGATTTTAACAAAATCTGCCCGGCGCAAGTAATTTATTTATTGATTTTGACCAAATTTCTCCGGCGCAACTAATTTATTTATCGATTTTAACAAAATTTGCCCTGCGCAACTACTTTACTTGTCGATTTTGACCAAATCTGCCCGGCGCAAGTAATTTATTTATCGATTTTGACCAAATTTGCCCGGCGCAACTAATTTATTTATCGATTTTGGCCAAATCTTTTCGGCGCAAGTAATTTATTTATCGATTTTGACCAAATCTGCCCGGCGCAACTAATTTATTTATCGATTTTGGCCAAATCTGCTAGGTGCAACTAATTTATTTAATGATTTTAACAAAATCTGCCCGGCGCAACTAATTTATTTATCGATTTTGACCAAATTTGCCCTGCGCAACTTTTTTATTTATCGATTTTGGCTAAATCTGCCAGGCGCAACTAATTTATTAAATGATTTTAACAAAATCTACCCGGCGCATGTAATTTATTAATTGATTTTGACCAAATCAGCCCGGCGCAACTAATTTATTTATCGATTTTGACCAAATCTGCCCGGCGCAACTAATTTATTCATTGATTTTAACAAAATCTACCCGGCGCAAGTATTTTAATAATCGATTTTGACTAAATCTGCCCGGAGCAAGTATTTTATTTATTGATTTTGACCAAGTCTGCCTGTCGCAAGTATTTTTTTTATCGATTTTGGCAAATGTGCCCGGCGCAATTATTTTATTTATCGATTAACACTAATTTTTCTGTCGCAAATATTTTATTTATTGATTTTGAACAAATCTGACCGGTGCATGTATTTTATATATTTTGATTTTGATTGAATATGCCGGGCGCAATATTGTATTTAATTATTTTGACTTAATCTGCTTGGCTTATTATTGGCTGTGGTTACTTTTTATTAATTGTTAATTAAATTTATTTTGAGTGCTCAGATGTTAATTGGTATTGTTCTAGCTGTAGTTTAGGTTAAGTAACAATTTTTTATTAATAATTGTTAATAAACAAATGATAAAGTTTGATCACAAAAAAATTTTCGTCTGCTGCTGATTCTCGGATGTGGTTTACTTTTAATAAATTGTGAATTAAATTAATTTTGATGACTTAAATATTAATTTGTTTTCTGCGAGCTATAGTTTAGAATTATTGAAGAATTTGTTTATTAAGAATTGTTAATAAACAAATAGTAAAACAACCTGCCTTGCCGCAAATAATTGGTTTTTTAAATTTTGTAGTTTAAGTAATTATTAGATTTACAATTATTTATTAATACAAATATTAAGTTACAGTTTAATTAATATTAAAAATCAAACAAATTTTTTTAACGTGAATGTAATTATTAAGTATCAGCTAATTTTGCTGATTTAAATTTGGAAAGCTTGTTTTCTATAGCTCATAGCTCATGTTGGGGAGCAAGTTTGCAGCAATGATTCATGGTATTGTGTCTTGAAGACGTTTCGTTAGTTGCAACAAGCTAATAGGTTTCTCTTAAGTTATGACATCATGGAACGTCTCTGGCACATCTTGCAGATATCCTAATTTCCCTCAAAATTCAAAATTAATGGAAGTACAGCATATTGATTGTTTCATGTAATTTCAATTTTCTTAAACATCTTAAGAACGGATGGTTTTGTAACGAGCGCTTTTTCGATTGAATTCAACAAAACGTGAACCTGATTAAACGGAGGAAATGGCATACCCTCAAGATTGTAAATATAGACAGCTCCCTTATTATCCGCAGCAACCAATTGATTTCCGTTTTTGGTAAATTCAATTGTCATCAAAGTACATTCCCTTGGTAATACCGTCACCGATTTAGGTTTATAGGTTTTCCTCTTGATATCCCAAATGCAAATTTCATTCTTGACAATGGTGGCAATAATTGTTGAATTAGTAGGACACCAAGTGGCACATCGAACCCAGGACATTTCGGTCGAGAACGTTATCAACGGTTTCGTTATTCCATCGACCCAAATTCTTGTACACCAATCTGCACCCGCAGTGAGAAAAATTTTCGAACAAAACGGCGAAAATTCCATTGAATGAACAGGTCCATTGTGCGCAACAAAACTCTCGATATGTTGATGTAGATAGTTGGTTGAACAACGATAGATACCACCTTCATCAGTGCCGATAAAATAGATTGTCGACAAATTAGGATGTTTTCGAAGTACTAAAGCAGCTGGATTTCTACTAATCGGAACATCATTTTGATTTCCGAAAATCGTACGTTTTATCCCTTCGATTTTACCCTCGATTCTAGGAATCTTCATTACTTCGGTACAGGTAAAATCCTCCCCGGTACGATAACAATAGATACGACCATCTTGATTCGATGTGAATATTGATTCATGTTCTAAATTATCGTTTTCACACCACCAATCAATTTGCCAATGGGGCTCAAATGTGGGCGAGGATTCCAATTCACTTTGCCGGACAATTAATAAATCTTTACTACTCACGTCGATTACCTTAACAGTTCCGTTATAGAAACCAATTGCGAGTAAATTTGGTTTTTTCTTACTCCAATTGAGAGCGGAGACTGATGAATTAAAGGAGAATTTACGACCATAGTGTGTTGGATTTTTGGCACACCAAATTAAAACAAGACCGTCTTTGATATTCGGATGTCGGGAGTTGTGAGTGTAACCAACAGCGAGGACACTGGAGTTCTCGTAACTCCATCGAAAGCATGATACAGAACGGCCAATTACCTCTTTTGCGGAATAGACCCAAAGGAGATCTAAATTGTAGGAGAACTGAAGATCCATTGCATACGGATCCTGTTTTATAAGACCAGTAAAACGCTTTTGAGCCGTTATGAATGAATTACTGGCGAGGATTCGCAGCATGACTCGCAACGCTTCTCGAAATGAGGTTTTGTAATAGATGTGGATCAGTTCATCTGGAATTTCACTTTCATCTTCTATCTTCACCACTTTGTTTTCAACTTTCTGGAATAATCAGAAGAAGTTAGAATTAGGATCAGTATCAGGAGTACTAACTAACTAACTAACACTAACAACAACCGGATATTCGGAATATCCTAAGGACTTGCCTCCTTACGATGTTTTGGAATATCCGTTCCTGTTAGTGTTATAGCAGTAAAAAGATTTTCAATGACAACAATTGTCTTACTTAATTTGCAGCAAGCTACCAAAAGTTTAACTAAACAGTCCACTAACTTCAGTTTTACCCCTTCCAGAATTAATAGTCTTTCCTGGATACAAAATTCCATTGACCTCTTCCATTCTGTCCAGCTGTTGATAAGTGTCGTACATTTCCCAATTGCTGACATAGGTCCCTTGATTCCGACGCAAATGTCTTCCAATGTGGGTTCCCTGAGATTTGATGTGAATCTGTGGGGTTTGTGTTTCAGCTTCTGCAAGTTTTCGATTTGAACCGGCACCAGTGGTGATGAATTTGTACCTCTCATTAGAAGCTTCAACAGCAGCGCCTTCTGGTGTTGTCCTGTCAGCAGTTAACTGAGGCAGCTCAAACAGAAAAATGGTCTCAGTTTCCTTTAAGGTTATTGTCACTTTTTCTGGAGTTGCTTCATAAATATTTGGTTCTAGTCTGTAAAAATTAATTAATTAAAGTGCTAAATAAAATTATTGGATGGCAACGAAATTCTTACAAATGGTAATTGTTACATTTATGTTATCTTGCAGTACTAGCGAGACAAAACTGATACTTTAAAAGATCAGCCTACTATAAACATCATCATTGACTTTTTAATCCTTTGAAGTTCTTCGAATTATGTTTATATTGCACTTTGAATTTTAAAACCAATTTTTTAGGGTCGAACAAGGTTTGTAAGGATAAATGTAATGTCTGTTAGGGTTGAAGGACGATTAGTAGGTTTACCTGCCTGATAGTAATTAGTAACTTCTGTTGAGTTTTATAAGGTTTATTTCAGGGTTGGAAACCTAGAATGAAAGGGTAATTCATCATAAGGATGAAGAAAGCATCAAAAGGTTTGAATCAGTTTTAAAGTAGGTTTCTATGGGTCATTGATGGTTGAAAGGTTGCTGAAGGGCTCAACTAATCTGTAAGCTTGCAGTAAGTTTGCTGCAAGTAGCAAAAGCAAAATTAGAAGCGTAAAAGGCAGAAATAAATAAATTTACCCATCAAGATGAAATTCTGACGGCACTCGGCAACTATCTGAATCCAACTCATCCACTCTCTCGGTCGAAAGTAAACTGTCCATATGAATTTCCTCACTTCCTAGTAGGGCCACTTGTAGTGAAGACGAGCCAACTGTGTAAGAACCCGATCGAAGCAGTCCTATCACAGAAGATGATGTATTGAACAATGAATTACTACTTGGCAGTGAACTCTCTATATTGTCAATAGTACGCAATTGCTTCTCTTCATATTCCTCGTGAATAAGTAATTTCGGCGTGACATCTTCACCATTGTCTGTGATCCGTATCGTTTGTCTCTTGTGAAGAAACGATTGTCTCGGTTTTGTGACAAGTATCGTCGGTCGTCGAATTCGATCCGAAGTTGTCGACTTCAGGAGAAGCGAATTCGAAGTGCTTGGTACCCTCGAGAATAGTTTTGGAAGTGATTCCTTAGTTGATCCCATTTCTTTAGTGATCTGAATTTATTTTTTTTATTCGAAGAACAGCTACGTATAGAAAAAATCCCAAAGGCAGCGGGAATCGAACGCTCGAACCCAACACTCGTAGGTCGCCACTCTATCCACTTGACCACAATCTAACTCATATTTATTTGAATTTACTTGCATTTATTTCCGTTCTTCTGTATTCGTATTTACTTGTACCAACAGTAAAATTTTTGTCAAAAGAAGAAATGCGTACTTTTCTTACCCTGAAAATAGAAATTACTGTTTTAATTATTTTCTCTCATCAACGGATATTTCTGGCATACTCTACGGATATTCTGAGTCTTTTAGAAATTATAGAATATTTTCAAGGAACTTTTCTCTCAAAATCTGTTGTATGTATCAAAACGACACCTTATTTCCAGGTCAAAAAATAGGTCAAATTTCACCGTAATTTTCATGTAACGTAACGAGCGATTATTTTGGACCATAGGTCAAAAGTAGGTCTAATGTGTCATAAATTTTATCGTAACGTAACGACTATTGACATTTAATTTAAGAATATAGTCTAATTTGAACTAAATTTTTGACGTATAGATAAAAAAAATAGGTCAAATTTGATCTAAATTTTGACCTAGGGTAAGGACCCTTTTGGAGTATTCTTATGAGGCCTGTATTTTTAATATCTTTTTAATATCGCTGAATACAAAAATAATGTTGATACTTGAAAATTCAACATGGCGGATCAAATTACTAAAATTTCTTAAAAATTGTTTAATTTGAACAACGCTTGGTTTCTGAGGTCGCTCAATTGAAATATGATGGTTAATTTAAAAAATTCAAAATGGCGGATCCAATATGGTAGGTTGAACTTTTTAAAAATGCTTGAATTTGAACAAAACTTGAATTCCTAACATTTTTGAGGTCACTGAATTCAAATATGATGGTGAATGTAAAAATTTCAAAATGGCGGATTAAATTACTAAAATTTCTCAAAATTGTCAATTAATGACCTTAAAAACAGTAGAATACCAAATTTTGTTCAGATTATAGTCAATTTTGATAAATTTTAGTAATTTAATCCGCCATTTTGGATTCGACATTTTGTATTTTGAAATTTCAACGTTATTTTTGTATTCAGCTTTATTAAATGCTTATAAAAATGTAGTTTTATAAAATTTCATTATATGAATTACCGGTTTTTTTTTTCAAAAAAATTACTAACTTTGCTGAAGTTTCAAAAGCCAAAAAAATGAGATCAAGGATTTTTTATAATTTCTCTCTATTCTTTATTTATTATACTTTATTTTGATTAAAGAATCATTAAATTTGTTCTATTTATTCAAGAGATATTTTCTGACGAGTAGGTTGAAAAAAAGGTCAAAATTGACATAAATTTTGACTTAGGTTATTAACCCTTTGAAACGTCCTTATGGACTTCTTTTTGACCTGTAGGTTAAAAAATAGGTCAAAATTGTCCCAAATTTTGACTTAGGGTATCGAACCTTTGATGGGTCCTTATGGGCTTCTTTTTGACATGTAGTTAAAAAATAGGTCAAATTTAATTTAAATTTTGACCTAGGGTATTTTGACCCTTTGAATGGTTCTTATGGGTTTCTTTTTGACCTGTAGTTAAAAAACAGGTCAAAATTGACCTAAATTCTAACTTAGGGTATTGAACCTTTGAAGAGTCCTTATGGGCTTTTTTTACCTGTAGTTAAAAAATAGGTCCAATTCAATCTAAATTTTGACCTAGGGACCCTAAGATGGGTCCTTATGGGTTTCTTTTTGACCTGTAGTTAAAAAATAGGTCAAATTCAAGTTAAATTTTGATCTAGGGTACTGGACCCTTTGAAGGGTACATAGATTTTGACGTAAAGTTTTGCGCCTCTTTTTGACCTGTAGGTCAATAATTAGGTCAAATTTTACATAGATTTTGACGTAATGTAACAGTCTTTATTCGACCCTTTCTTCACCAAAAGTAGGTCAAATTTCACATAGATTTTGACGTAATGTAAGGCCGTTATTAGGTCTCTTTTTTTGACCTATAGGTAAAAAATAAGGTCAAAATTGACCTATATTTTGACGAAACATGACGTTCCCATGAGGGGACCCTTAGAAAATTCTGATTCTGCGGCGGCAACGAAATATTTTTATATAATAGAGAGAGAAATATAATTAATTATATATATAATATATTATAATATATATTATAATTTTTATAATATATATATATATATATATATATATATATATATATATATATATATATATATATATATATATATACCCCTGAAAGTAGGCATCCCAAGTGCGGGGTAAGCGCGCGATTTGAAAGGTAAAATTTGAAGACTACAGAGATATCTGTTGCACTGACATTGAAGCTTATAACTGAAAGCAGTTGATACAATAGTTCCTCTAAATACCAGCAAATGAATAAAATTCACTAAAAATCATATACACATACAATTCCCGTCAAGGCCTCTACAGTCATATATAGTTTGTTGAGTGAAAAAAAAACTCGGTTAGTCAAACGTGCAATAGAAAAATGCAAAATAAATCAAATTCTCATATTATTCAAACTAAATCAGAGAACAATGGAAATAATATAAAATCGGTAATAATCCGTGTTTGAGTGTATAAATAAAATTTTAAGCCATTAAATTATAATTTAGCTGCAATATATTAAAAAAAAAAATTTTGTGAACTCATAATCTCTTACGTGTTATTTCGAACATCCGTTTCTCCGTAGAATAACATATGAAAATCATCTACTAGCATATACAATACTTGCGCAATTGTAATATTATAGATTTATTTTTTTTCAATTAGATTTTCATTTCTTTTGTTTTTGAAACGTGTGAAAAGAAAAACTTTTCTTCCTGTGTATTTGTATTAAAAAAAAGGGGGCTATTTGTGCCGACAACGTAAGTGTCACGAGTTGCTTGATTACGTGTATATAAAAGTGCAATAATATTGTCAAGGAGTCGGTGGGGTCGGAAAGTTTGACCTGCGTTTAACTTGCCTGTTATTTGACTCCCCGATAGCTTCAGTATTGCTCCCTGTTTTGTATGATATTTCAAAAAATTTCATTGATTTTTTTTCTTCATTTTGTGTTTTAAAATAAAATCCAACTATTTTTAGATCTAAATATATTGTGTATTGCATGAAATATTATTTTACTTTTTTATTATTCTCTCGTTGACTTTTGGCGTCGGGTTTCTTTAATTTGTTAATAATTAATAAATTATTGTAGAATTTGATGTTAAATATTCAATTTTCGATTATTTTTGAGTTTTGTTTTTTATGTATTTTTTATTCTTTTTGGGCATAAAATTCCAAACATTATTTTTTATGCTTTTTTATCGGTTCGAGTATCATTGAAAATCGATTTTTTTCTTCAATTACGTTTTTTTTTTTGCTTCAGAAATTTTTAAATATTGCAAGAAACGATATGGTAATTTATATATGTTGAATTATACATTTCTAATGATTCTTACGTCGAAACGTGACGTGTGCGAAAATTAGATTTGAATCTGCTTTCTTTTTTTTTTGAGTGTTTTTTTTTTTGTTTTTCATTTTACTTTGTTTTACTTTGCGGATTATTTTTGTGTTATCTCTGACGCATATGTGTTTCTTTTTATTTACTTCTTGTTTTTTTTTGTATTTATATACTTGTCTCTCTGTGTGTGTGTATAGAAGGAAACTTTTTTTCATTCTCAGAGAAGATTTAAAAAATTCAGTAGTAGTAATAAGAAGAGGAAAAAATGATAAGATTTTGATGTAAATAATAGAGGGAATAATAAATGTTTTATTTTTTGTCAGGCAAATATGAGTAAAGCAGAGGAACAAGCGGGACCTTCGAAACCATCGGGTTCTGCAACGGAGGAAAAGGAGAAAGATGATCGAACATTCGAATGTAATATTTGTCTCGATACTGCAAAAGATGCAGTAGTTAGTATGTGTGGCCACTTATTTTGGTAAGTTTCATTTATTTACTAAATAAATTTTTTGAATTTTGAAATTCGAATCATTTTTTAAAATAAGAAGTTTATCAGTAACATTCTATACACTGTTTTATAGACGAATTGTTTTTAATTCTATTTTTATTCGTATTTTTGTAATTCATATTTTTTATAATAGAATAAAAAATAATTTTTGATGAAAGAATAAAGGATAATTTTTGTTAAAAGAATAAAGAATAAGTTTTTATAAAAGAATTGAGGAATCATTTTTGACTAAAGAATAATTTTGAGACGAAAGAATAGAAAATAATTAAAGGAGAATTTGTAAAAAAATTAATTTTTCTAGCTGGCCTTGTCTTCATCAGTGGCTCGAAACTCGTCCTACGAAACAAGTTTGTCCCGTATGCAAAGCTGCAATCAGTAAAGAAAAAGTTATTCCACTCTATGGAAGAGGAACAACGAAACAAGAAGATCCAAGGTTTGTAGAAAATAAAAATCAAAAAGAAAAGAAAAAAAAATTTTTTAAATAGAAAATAATAGGTAGAAAGAATTACTAAAAATTACCCCGAAAATGAAATTTTTTTCCAGAAATAATGTACCCCCACGTCCCGCTGGACAAAGATCGGAACCGGAAGCTAATGTTGGATTTCCGGGTTTCGGCTTCGGTGATAGTGGTTTTCACATGTCCTTTGGAATCGGCGCCTTTCCATTTGGATTTTTTACTTCCACGTTCAATATGGGAGACGCACGACCAAGTACCGGTAAATTTTCATTTTTTTTTTTGTAAATTTTCCTATTTTTAATCAAACCCCCCTCCCCCCTACTCTAAATCCTCCCAAATTTTGAACTATTTATAAAATTTAATTTTAAATCATCATTTATCCATCGAATTTTCTATTTTTTACCGACGATTTGAATTTCCCGCTCAAAATCTACCTTACCGACGGTACACTGATAGGAAACTCGATGAATAAATTCGAAACATTAGAAATTCACTTCAGGCAGTTAATAAAAATATGTTCTTAAGAACATTAAATAATTGACTTAGATTTTCGTTTTCATGAGTTGAATAAGTTGAATTTTGAAAAATATTCTCATATCACTGAAATGAATGAGAAAGTCAAAAGTTTTTCTCTTTGCGGAAGAAAAATAAATATTTCTCGATACCTGAGTCCCAAGAATTGATGACCCTCATTACAATAGGTTCCATTGTTATCCCAAAGTTTCTTCCAGGTCAAGAAATCCAAAAATTAAACGTTATTTCATAAGGAAATTTGACAAAAAATTTTAAAATGAATTTTAAAATGAAATAATTTAAAAACAAAATCATCTCTTTGATAATTAAAATAAATTAAAATTGACTTTTGGCCCCGGAAAAAAATTTTGATTCTAAAAATATTTGATAAATAAAAAATTCGAACTTTAAATTTTTTAAATATCTGATTCAGTTAAAAATTAAAAAATTGTAATTAATCAGTGATTTATAGTGCGAAAAATAACTATAAAACAAATCTTTCAAAAATTATTTTTGAATAATTTTTCTATTTAAATTTTCAAAATATAAAAAGATTTTGAATAATTGAAATTTTGTAAAATTTAATTGAAAGTAATTAATTTTTTTTTAAAGTACTTTATTAGAATTTTTGAAAATCAACTTTTAAAGAATTTTAATTGCAAATTTTGAAAATAATTGAATTATCAAGAATTTTAAAGAAAAATCTTTATAAACGAAAATTTAAAAATAAAAATTAACTTCTAATTTTTTTAAAATTTAGAATTTTCAGTAGTTTCAATTACATATTTTCGAATTCAAATACATACGAAAAATAGTAATATTTTAGAATTATTTTTAACATTTTGGAGAAAAAAATGATATTTAATTAAAATTTATCAAGAAATTAATTAGTTTTTTTTTTAAATTACAGAAACTCTTTTAAGAAGGTCAATATGGTTTTCGAAAAATTACATTAAAATATTTTTAAAAACTACTTAATTCTTAAAATTTTTTATCGTAAATTTTTAAGATTTAATTATCTTCGAATAAAGCAAATAAAAATTTACTTTTTTCGGAGAAATCATTGGTCATATTTATAATTAAAATTCTTCAAAGATTCGATTATTTTTTAAAAATATTGTACCTTAAAAACTTAAGAAGAAAAACATGGACAGTTACAATTATTATAAAAAATTGAATTTTCGTATTTAAATAATTTAATTCTTGAAGAACTTTCGGAAAATTATTTAAAATAATTGATTTAGAGATGAAGTTTAGTTGAAAATTATAGAAAATAAATTGAATTCAGGAAGGTTTACAGTTGTAATTTTTAGAAATTATTCAATTTCATAAAATTTTACTCATTTTCCGTTAAATTTTCATATTTTTCTATGAAAAGAATTTTATTAGGGAATATAATTTTAATGTCAGTAAATTGTCAGGAAAATTGATAAACTGAAAACTAGTGACCACTCTGAATATATTTTTATAATTGATTCAGATTCTTAGAGAAATTTTGTTTTTTCTGTAATTAAAGTCGATTATTTTATTGAATATTGAATTGTCTGAATGAAAATTGATCTTTATAAGCAAAAATATAATTTTTAAGCACCACGAGGCACGCCACAATTTGAGGAGGAACAATTTTTATCGAGGGTATTCCTCTGGTTGGCTGTAATGTTCATCATTTGGCTGCTCCTGGCGTAACATTATTTACACCAAAAGAAGTTATAAATTTAAGAGCAGAACACTCGAATACAGGATATATCGCCGGCCACGTGACACATTTCTAAAGATGCCAATTAATCTCTTTATTATATGATATTTCACTGGATTAAATTTCAAGTTTTGCGAGGATTAAGGGATAAATTTTCAAATTATTTCTGCAAAACAAATCGTGTCTTAATGGACAATTAATTGATTAATTAAATTATTAATTATTAAAGGGAAATTGAAGGATTAATTAATTTTTAATTATTAATTAATTAACCCCCGTGGCAACAGTAGAATGGTTAATTCTAGCTATGGACAAAGACCCCGCAGTTAAAATATATAAATTTTCAACTTTTTAAATATTTTTCCCGTTAGCCATGGTTTGCTAGATTTTAGTTTAAACTTTAAAATATATAAATTTTCGGTTTTTTTTTAAATATTTTTGTTAACAGAGACTCAGAATCTGTTAACTTTAGATAAAGTCTTTGACCATTATTTAGCTAGAATTTACCATTTTTCCATTTGCACTTGGGAATTAATTAATAATCAACTGGGAATATCCGAAAAGTTACTTTAAAAAAATAGTTCCCTCAAAAAATTTCCCTTTAATTTAAATTAAAGGATGTTTTTAATAAAAAATCTTCGCAAAACAAAAAAACAATGTGATATCATTTTACTCAATTTTACGAAATATTTTCTGTCTTTTTTTTGCCACGAGCATAATATACAATCTGATGATTAACGTTTAATGGTTTTGGAGGTAACGATAATTATATGTACATAAATTTAAAGAAAAACCAATTATCTAGATAAGCTGATTGTTGTAATGAAAAAAAAAAATTAGAATATTTTAATCGCTAAATTGAATTAATGATCATTGCTTAGTTATGAGAGAGAGAGAAGAAACAAAAGTCAAAAGTATTCTTTCAACGAATAAAACTTAGACTTTCAAAATGTATATAAATTAGTTTTTAAGAAAAAAAATATAAACCTATATTATTTCCGATATTAAAAAAAACACAAAAAATTGTATATCAAAAATAAAAATTTGTGTACGTTAACAATGATTAGTCATCAGTATTGCTTGAAATTGATTTTACAAAGAAATTTCTAATTATAGATAATTAATTTTGAGAAATACTGATTAAAAGAATTACGAAAAAAGAAAAAAAACGAAAAGTAAGATAATATGTAATAAGCAGTTTTATCTTTCAACATTGTAATTTAATTTATTTTTACAAAAAGAAAAAAAAAAGAAAGGAACTCATAGAGAAAGAATCGACAAAAAAAGGAGTTGAAAAGAGATCTTAACAAGTTAAAAAAAACGATGTTTACAAATTTCTCTTATAAAACCATAATTTAAAAAAATTATGATTTATTATTTTTTTGATTTCAATGAATTTATATGAAATGATTATTATTTTCGTTATTGGGCTTATTTTTTAAGTAACTTTAAATTTAACATTCCATTTTCTCTAAGTTGACGTTTTATTTTATTAATTTGATATTATGTTAAAATGGAACGAATAATTCAGATCTTTAAGATCATTTCATTATTATATAGACACATGACGAAACAAGACTGGTTTTTTTTTTTTTTTTTTGCAAACAATTTATAACAAACGATGTCTGTAATTTTTTTTTTGTGGTTGAACAATTGTAATCGTAACGATGAAGAATAAAATAAATTGCATTTAACATATCATTATTTGTCTTGTGTTCGAATCAAATTTTTTTCTGAAAATCTTTATATTTGATCGTCAAATATTAAAAAAAAAATTTTTTTTATTAAAAATTAAAATATTCAAAATATTTTAATAAAAAAATTTTTAAATTTTAGTTTTAATGTAAAAAAATTAAAATTAATTCGAAAATATTAAAGTAATATTAAAAATCGTTAAATAATTGTGAATTTGGTATAAATTAAACCGAAAGTTTAATTCAGAGCGAAATAATTGAATATAGGTTCAAAATGCCCTCATATGAGGCGCACTCTACAGCTGCGCGTCGAATCTGCGCACTTGTTACAAAAATTATTTCAACCGTTATTCTCAATTTTCATGAGGTTAGGTTTAGAAATTTTTTATGATAAATAAAATAAATAGAAGTTAAATAAATAAATAAATAAATAAAATTGTTGCATTTGTTTCGTTTATTTATAAATCGAAGCAAAATTCTCATACAACTTATTGTTCGCTACGAAATTGCAGATGAAAAAAAAGTACAAAACTGCAAAAATTTATCTGCTTGATATTATTAACTATCACAGATTTTTACTTAAACTGAAATCATTTTTTGCCTGAGAAATGTGCGATCTTTGAAGAAATGTTCAATCCTTACGTTTTTAACTATTAATTGACGTTAAGTGATTAACAATAATTAGTGAATTGTTGATTAACAATTAATTATTGAATAACAATAAATTGTTGATTAACAATTGTTGATTAACAATTCGTAAATTATTGATTATTACCAATAATTAAACAATTGCTTAGGCAGTAATTATTATTAATTGTTTAAAATTTGTAAAAAAAAAGATAATTCCTTTTTTCTTCAATTTACACCTCGTCTTTGATTGGTCTCTTTTTAAAGCCCTTTGATAATAGAAGATCATTGCACTCTTCTCGCGTTAATTGAGAAAGTGCTAAACGTTCGATTTCCTGCGAAAATATAAAAGTATAATTAGTCGATTGCGAGACGAAAAATAATAATAATAATAATGTCTAGTAATTAAAATTAATTTTACCTCGTCATTTTTGTCGTAGAAAATGAGTTCAGGCTTTGCTCCCTGAATATGTTTGAATTCAACATCCTCACTGCATTTTAATTAAGGATAATTTTTTTCTTTTTAAATTTTCAAATTCTCCTAATACTTAATTTTGTTTAAAATAAAGAAATTAAATTTTTTCTAAGACAATATTTTATTTCTGCTTTTCGGAAAACAATAACAGTTATTAAATATTTGTATACTATTTAAATATGGCAAATATAACAAAAAATAATTTTATTTACAAAATGTTTAGAATCATGTTTTCTTTGTAAACATTGTCATGGAATATAATATTTTAATATTATACTGAAAAAAATGTATTTGACTCAAATATCTGATTTGTCTATATTATCAAATAAATATTCACTTGAATCAAATAATTTTTAATTAAGTCAAATAAATTTTTACTTGAATCAAATAATTTTTATCTAAGTCAAATAAATTTTCATTTAAGTCAAATAAATTTTTACTTGAATCAAATAATTTTTATCTAAGTCAAATAAATTTTCATTTAAGTCAAATAAATTTTTATTTCAACCTATAATTTCAGTATTTGAAGTAAATACAATTTAATTGACTTGAATAAAAATTATTTGATTTAAGTAAATATTTATTTGACAATAGACAAGCAATCGATTATTTGAATAAAAAATAATTTGAATAAACAAATAAATTTTTAATTGAATCAAATAATTTTTAATTAAGCAAAAAAAATAAATTTTCACTTGACTCAAATAATTTATATTTAAATCAAACAAATGGTTTTATATTGGTTTTAATAAATATTTGTTTGATTATTACTTTAGTATTTAAAGCAAATACAATTTAATTGACTTAGATGAAAATTATTTGATTCAAGTAAATATTTGTCAGACTAGAAATCGTTTATTTGAATCAAATCAATTTTTCTCAGTGAATATAATATTTCAAAATATTTATTTAATTACAATTATTCTAATATTTTTTTAAAAATTTTTAAATAATTATTTAACTATACAATTATTATTGTATATTGTAAAATATATAAATATGAAAATAAGCTCGTTTAAATATTTACAAAATTGAAATATTTATAATATTTATAAATCGATTAAATATTTATAATCAGCGATTTAAATAATAATTATCCAACTTCTTAAAGATGAGAGAGCAGACCAACTTCTTTCACTGCAACGAATCCATGTGCTCCTTATTGTACTTCGAATTGAACTATTTTTGCAATTAAGTCCAAGATAGTGTATAATTAATTTTTATAAATATCATTTGAATAGTTTTTTTTATTTATTTGAAAATATTTATTCGTATTCTTTATATTAATATTATTGTCAAATAATAATTTAATTGCTATCATTAATGATTTTTTTCAATTATTATAAGTAATTTTGATTTTAATTGATTAAAAATAATAATAACATTTTTAATTGAAAATAATTATAATAATAATTATAATTGAAAATAATTTCAAAACTTTAATTAAAAAAATTTTTATTATTTTCAAATTGAAATTAATTTTAATATTTCAACTGAATAATGATTTTAGTACATTAATTGAAAATAATTTTAATATTTTAATTAAACACTTTTTTTTAAATAAATATTTCAATAGATATTAAATGTTTGAATGAAATTTTTCAAAAGGATACTACAATGGAAGATCATTGAAAATAAAACTTTTTACGTCAGGAAGAGAGTTCAAGGAGCATCCTCTGCAACTCTGTAATATAAATTTTTATAAGCAGTCGCTATAAATATACAATTTGCCAATTTCCTATAAATATTTATAACCTTAACACAATTTCATTATAGAAGTTTTCTTTATCACTCGTATTTTTAGATTTCAAGCTGAATGAGTATTTCATTTTTTTAATTTTTACATGATAATCGTTTTTTTAAAATTTAAACATAAAAAATTTTCATCTTCCATTAAAAAAAAAAAAAAAAAAAAAAAAAAGCAAATAGATAAATAAAAATTATAATAATGATAATAATAATTAAAATAATTATAATTATAATTATATCTACTAATTTTCAATATTAATATTACTATTATTATTAATATTATAATATTAATAATTATTATTTAAGAATAATAATATACAATGAATAATGAATGACAATAAAAATATTATTAAAAAAAATTATACTTGTAAAACTTTATTATTATTATTAAAAAAACAATAATAATATTAATAATAATACTTTTGAAAAAATAAAAATTCTAAAAAAAAATTATTTTTCACGATTGAGGAAACAATTGTTTATAAGGAAATTTTTCAATTATGCAATTTCGTTTAGAAGTTTTATAATAATATATTTGAAAAAAGAAGATCGATAAAATAATTATATACAATGATGACAATAATAATCGGTTTGCTTACCTCGACTTTGGCAAAGGCATAATTTCCACTGCCTGCATAACCTAATGAAATCGAGAGAAAAAGCAAAAAAATGCAAACAATATATCTCACTGGAAACATTTTTTTTTCTTTTTTACTTTAGTACTTAAAAATTTTTATTTTACTATTTATCTTAAAAATAGACACTATACTCCGATTTAAAAAATATGAATGAGAATTATACTCTTCGAATAGTCACAGAGACAATAAAATCAATGAAATAATTTCAGGGACGAATTTTACACAATGAGAATTTGTAGAATCACATTTTGTTTCTGGTAAATTTCCAACGAGAAATTTACCTTTTGTCATGTCTCTCTTATTCAATTGTAATATAAATGTATGTGGAGGGGACGGAATTTTTTTTTAAATTTCCCGCCACTATTGAGGAATTTCGAAAGTTGAAAATAAGCTTTAGGCAATTTATGATCTGATTGGTTGGTCATATTTCCGTTAAATGTTACCAACCAATTGGAAAAATTATCATATCGAGTGAGTACTTTTCGGATTGGTTGGTTATATTTTCGAAAAATTTTGCCAACCAATTGGAAAAATTATTTTATCCAATGTCTTGATTTTCAATTGGTTGGAAATATTTTCTGGAAATTTTACTGTCCAATCGTTCCTAATGCTGTTTGAAGAAGGATAAAAATTAAGAAAAATGTTTTCCTTCTTTCTTTGTATTATGCTTTTTAAATTCATCTTTTTATTTTTCGATTTTGAATTTGTCTTTGACTTTCACTTTGATTTTGACTTTAACATTGATTTTTATTTTAACCTCGACTTTCACTTTGAATTTGACATTAACTTTGACTTTGAATTTTACTTTGACATTGATTTTGACTATGGCTTTGACTTTGACATTGATTTTTATTTAAACCTTGACTTCTAATAATTTGAATTCGACTGTAACTTTTAATTTAATTTTGACTTTAACTTTTTTTAACCTCGACTTACACTTTGAATTTACCTTTAACTTTGACATGGACTTTGAATTTGACTTTGACATTGATTTTGACTTTGATTTCTATTTTATCCTTGACTTTTCCTTTGAATTTGACAATAACTTTGAATTTAATTTTGACTTTGATTTTTATGTTAATCTCGACTTTCACTTTGAATTTAACTTTAACTTTGACATTGACTTTGAATTTGACTTTGACTTTAACATTGATTTTTATTTGAACCTTAACTTTTCCTTTGAATTTGACTATAACTTTAAATTTAATTTAGAATGTGACTTTGGTTTTAACTTTTACTTTGAATTTGACCTTAACTTTGAATTTAATTTAGAATTTGACTTTGATTTTGACTTTTACTTTGAATTTGACTTTGATTTCGACTTTTTCTTTGAATTTGACTATAACATTGAATTTAATTTTGACTTTGATTTTTATTTTAACCTCGACTTTCACTTTGAATTTAACTTTAACTTTAACATTGACTATGAATTTGACTTTGACATTGATTTTGACCTAGACTTTGACTTTTCCTTTGATTTTGACAATAACTTTGAATTTAATTTTGACTTCGACATTGATTTTTATTTTACCCATGACTTTAACTTTAAATTTGACTATAACTTTGAATTTAATTATAAATTTGACTTGGACATTAATTTAAGTTTAACCTTGACTTTACCTTCGAATTTTATTTTAACTGTAACATTGAATTTTACTTTGACTTTAATTTTTATTTCAACCTCGACTTCTACTTTGAATGTGACTTTAACTTTGACTTTCACTTTGACATTGATTTTGACTTAGACACTAATTTTTATTTTAACCTTGACTTTTAATTTGAAATTGTCTTTGACTTTCACATTTGATTTTGACTTTAACATTGATTTTTATTTTAACCTCGACTTACACTTTGAATTTGAATTTAACTTTGACCTTGAATTTGATTTTGATTTTGACTTTGACAATGATTTTTATTTAAACCTTGAATTTTCCTTTGAATTTGACTATAACTTTGAATTTAATTTAGAATTTTACTTTGATTTTGACTTTTCCTTTGAATTTGACTATAACTTTGAATTTAATTTTGACTTTGACTTGGATATTGATTTAAGTTTAACCTTGACTTTACCTTTGAATTTTACTTTAACTTTAACCTTAAATTTTACTTTGACTTTGACATTGATTTTGATTTTGACTTTGATTTTGACTTTGATTTTGACTTTGATTTTTATTTTAACCTCGACTTCCACTTTGAATTTGACTTTAACTTTGAGTTTGACTTTGACTTTGACTTTTATTTTAACCACGACTTCCACTTTGAATTTGACTTTAACTTTGACTTTGACTATTACTTTGACATTGATTTTGACTTTGGATTTTTATTTTATCTTTGACTTTTCTTTTGAATTTGACTATAACTTTGAATTTAATTTTGACTTTGACTTCGATTTTAACTTTGACTTGGACATTAATTTTTATTTTAACCTTGACTTTAACTTTGAATTTGACTTTGATTTTGACTTTGACGTTGATTTTTATTTTAACCTCAACTTTTACGATGAATTTGATATTAACTTTTTCTTTGACTGTCACTTTGATTTTGACTTTGACTTTAATTTTATTTTAATCTTGATTTTTCCTTTGAATTTGACTTTATCTTTGTCTTTGAATTTGACTTTAAATTTGACTGTGACTTTGACTTCGATTTTGACTCTGACTTTGACATTAATTTATATTTTAACCTCGACTTTTACTGTAACTTTGACTTTGACTTTGACTTTGACTTTGACTTTGAATTTGAATTTGAATTTGACTTTGACATTGTTTTTTACGTTTCGATTTTGACTTGTGATTTTGAATTTGACTTTCATAAAAGTCACGGTGAAAACGAAAGTCATAGTCAAATTCAAACGCTTTAAAATCAATGTCACAAGTCAAAATCCAATCGTAAAAGTTAAATTTAAAAAATTTAAAAATTTAATTTTTTTTTAATTTAAATTTTCAACTTTTAGGATGAATTTGATATTAACTTTTTCTTTGACTGTCACTCCGATTTTGAATTTGACTTTAATTTTATTTTAATCTCGATTTTTCCTTTGAATTTGACTTTATCTTTGTCTTTGAATATGACTTTAAATTTGACTGTGACTTCGATTCGATTTTGACTCTGACTTTGACATTAATTTATATTTTAACCTCGACTTTTACTGTAACTTTGACTTTAACTTTGACTTTGACTTTGACTTTGACTTTGACTTTGACTTTGACTTTGACTTTGACTTTGACTTCGACTTTGACTTTGACTTTGACTTTGAATTTGAATTTGAATTTGAATTTGACTTTGACATTGTTTTTTACGTTTCGATTTTGACTTGTGATTTTGAATTTGACTTTCATAAAAGTCACGGTGAAAACGAAAGTCAAAGTCAAATACAAACGCTTTAAAATCAATGTCACAAGTCAAAATCCAATCGTAAAAGTTAAATTAAAAAAAAAAAACTCCACCCCAGTAAAATTTTGCACTTTTAAAAAAGAGATAAAATTTTATTATTAACACTTAAAACTTAGATAAGTACTTTACAATCTCACTGCATCATAAAATATTTTCCTCATGTTATTTCTTTTTTTTTGTTATATTCCATAAAATATCCATTCGCCCCTTTTGGTGATAAATTAAACTTTTATATCCAGATAACAGTAATTTTTGAAATCACGACAAAATTTTAGGCACGTTGCGCCTTCATATTTATAAAGAAAATCATCAATTAATTCTGAATTGAAATTTTCCGTTTTGACAAAATGAAAATCCATTTCGCGTAATTTCTGCCAAAGCACTTGATAACCATTAATTGTTATTATTAAATCGTTCAAGCATGTAATGTGTCGACCAATTGGCACTCGAGTATCATTATCCACAAAGCGCATATGTTGAAGATAAATTTTTGCAACTTCAAAAAATTCTTGATGAAAACTACCATCAGTTAAAACAGTTTTCATTTTTTTAATTGGATCATTGTCGTCATGTTTTGATCCGCCCATTAATGCAAGGCAAAGTTTATCCAAAAAGTGTAGGATAAATGATGTGAAAAATCCTTCTGGCGGAATTTTCTTTCCATTCATGTTCTCACTATCAACTGAAACAATGATAATTCTTTAAAATTGTAGAAATTTTCAGATAGCACATAAATAATTGTGAAATTAAAAAAAAATTTATTTTCTGTAATCATAGAAATAATAATTAAAGAGAAAAATAATAATAATAATAATAATAATAATAATAATAATAACATACTTGCAAGTTTATCCATGCAATTTGCCACTTTTTCGTTAAAGACATTGAGGATACTGTCGAAATTGACTTTATTCAATTTCTTTGCGCCGACACTTGAATTCCATAGAGGTGGAATTTTGACTTTTAATTTACCATCATTGATGCTGTGCATAGTTTCAATGTGTTTCCATGTAGCTAATAATGGTTTTTTTGTATTCATATTAGTAATACGTTGTTCCCTATCGTGATCCCATTTTTCTGGTCTCTCCATTAGATCCACAAAATATTCCAGATCGTACAAATGCAGTTTATTACGAAAATCCGTTAACAAATCGAGACAATTGTAAAGTGGAACAATTTCAACTCCTTGAATCAGAATAGTAGGAACTAAAAATAGAAAATTAAAAATTTATTTCTTTTTGGCAAAGACAGAGACACTTTACAAAACTGACAAAAAATCCATTCTATATTCTATTTTCCTGACTTTTTCCTCATTTTCATCAAAAATATTTATTTTTTTTCTTACCCTGATAATAAATTGAATTCCTGCAACGAATTACAATATTCATGAAAGAATTTAAATATTTATAAAAATAATGTAATTCTTGCGAAGAATTTTATAAAAAAATTTTAAATAATTGATTTTTTTCGACTGATTTTATGCAAATTCTAATTGAAATAAATGAATTTCTGAGAAATTTCTATTAATCATGAAAATAATTAAATTCTTACGAAGATTTTTACAAAAAATTTTTAAATAATTGAATTCTATTTGAAAATGTTATGAAAATTGTATATATTGGAAATTATTGAATTGCTAAAAGTTTTTAAAAATAATAAAATTTTACAAAGAATTCTATAAAAATTTTTGAGAATAATTGAATGTCTGTGTGGAATTTTATTAAATTTTTTTTGAAAATAATTGAATTCCAAAAAAGCATTTTATTATTTATGAAAATAATTGAATTCTTACGAACGATTTTATTAGAATTATTTAAAATAATTAAATTTCCAAGAAAAAATGTATTACTTTTAAAAATAATATTGAATTCTTGTGATTAATATTGTTATTCATGAAAATAATTGAATTTTGCAAAGAATTTTATGAAAATGCCTCAAAATAATTGAATTTTCGGGAATAATTTTGTTATATATCGACATAATTGAATTCCTGAGAAGAATTTTATTAAAATCTAAAAGAATAATTGAATTATTTCAAAAAAATTTAATTAAAATTGTATTTAAAATAATTGATTTCTTTCGAACAATTTAATTAAAATACTTGAAAATAATTGAATTCCTGTGCGAAATTCTAATATTTTTGTAAATAATTGAATTCTTGCAAAGAATTTAAAAAAAAACATTTTTCTAAATAATTAATTTCTTCGAGAAATTAATAAATTAATAAATTTTTAAGAATAATTACATTTTTTAAGCAATTCCTGTAAAATTGTATTAAAAATAATTGAAATTTTGTAATGAATTTTATTATTTATGAAAATAAATGAATAATTGCTAAGAATTTTATTATTTATGAAATAATTGAATTATTGCGAATGATTTTACTTCATTCTTTTAAAATAATTGAATTCTTGTGAATAATATTGTTATTTATGAAAATAATTGAATTTTGCAAAGAATTTTGTTAAACTGCCTCAAAATAATTGAATTCTTTCGACGAATTATTTATATAAATAATTCAATTCTTGGGAAGAATTTTATTAAAATCTAAAAGAATAATTGAATTATTTCAAAAAAATTTAATTAAAATTGTATTGAAAGTTAAATTGATTTTTTTCGAACAATTTAATTAAAATACTTGAAAATAATTGAATTCCTGTGAAAAATTCTAATATTTTTGTAAATAATTAAATTCTTCCAAAGAATTTAAAAAAAAAATTATTTTAATTATAATTTATTTTTTCGAGGAATTGAATTTTTTGATAGGAATGTTTGAGCAATTCTTGTAAAATATAGAATTAAAAATAATTCTTCGATGCGTTTTATTATTTGTGAAAATAATTGAATTCTTGCTTAGAATTTTATAAAAAAAATTTTTTTAAAAATTGAATTTTTATGAAAAATGTTATTATTAGTGAAAGGAATTGAATTATTGTGAAGAATAAAATTGTATGAAAATTTGGTTAAATAATTGATTTTTTCGAAATTTTTTTGAAAATGCTATTTTAAATTAATTGAATTTCTGTGGAAATTTTATTATTTATGAAAATAATTGAATTTTGAATGAATTTTATCAATTTTTTGAAAATAATTGAATTCATTTACGAAATTTTATGAAAATACTAGATATTGAAAATAATTGAATTTCGAATATATTTTGAAAATAATTTAATCGTTTTAAAGAATTTGATTATAATTTTTTGAGAATAGTTTTTTGATTCCTAGTATTAGAAAATTTAAAGTAGTGGAAATTTTCAACAACAAACAAATAATAACAGAAATAGTAGCTTTTAGTGGCTGAAATCTAAAAAAAGTACCCAAACAGTTAAAAAAAAGTAGTAAACAGTATATTTTAGTAGATGAGTGCGAAGCCTGCAAAGAAAAAATAAATAGGTATCTACTTTACCAACAATTATAATTTTCTTTTTTAATTCCCTTTTCATTGTATATTTCTATCCATTTGAAGCAGAGGCACTTTATTTAATGTCTACTTTACCTGATTTTCAAAAAGAAAAGTCCAATACCCATTTCCCTTGCTTTTAAATTGATCGGAAAAAATTAAGAACCAAGTACTATTGACATAAAAGGGCTAAAAATTAAAAAAAAAACATTGTTAAAATGCTCACAATTCGCAGTGTCTGGAGATCCTCTTTTTTTCATTGTCTCAATTTGTAATTTCTCCAATGTTGCCTCGTACCATTGATTTTTGTCACTGACACAAGCAACAATTGTAAATCCAGCTGAATTCACGCACTGTACAACTTGTTTGAATAATCTAACGAGACGAGAAATTTTTGGCTCTTCATCCGCAAAACTGTAAGCAACTGGTAAAAACCAATTGGATTCTATTCCACGAATTGCAAAAACAAAAGCCTCCTCAGCAAGATAATCACGCTGGTAGCCCCAATCCTCATAGCCAATAATTTTATCTAATTTTCCAGAATAATGTAAATGTGGTTCTATGGGAAATGAGCCCAACATTAGAATAACAATTTTGTCGATAGAATTCATTGTCGTTGATAATTTTAATAATCTTTTTGCCATCGTTGACGTGACACCAGCATCAAATGGTATGGATTTACGAAATTTTTTTAAATTCATATTATCTGGCAATGGAATTAATGTGCATAGGTAGTTATACAAATTTTCCGATTTATTATAAATTGAGAGGCACATTAATTTTTCAGCTATCGTAAATTCTTCACCGTGCATTTTGTTTTGTAATTTTTCCGTTATTCGGTCAATGTAACTTTTTTGTTGTTCTGTTAAAACATTCATTTTAATTTTATATTCTTTGGTTTTTTCTATTTCATGGAATCTATTTATTTTCTCCTCGCATTTACATATACTGAAAATAAAAAATTTAATAAAAAAATTTTTTTTTAATAAATAAATAAATAAATTAAAAAAATAAAATAAAAATAAAATTTAGAATTTAGTCGTACATTTTTTTTTTACTTATTATATTTCTGTAAGATTTTGTATTATAATTTTTGGTTTATATGGCGAATTAAATAATTTACCTAGAGCATTTGTTTTTTAGTTGCAATTTCTTGTGGGCTTTTAATTTTTTATGCCTCACAGATGCCATAAAATCAAAAATCGGCTTAACGTATGTCGTCATCGGTTTTTGTTTCCAAGTGACATGATGTGAGATTATTTTAACCTGGTAATATTAAAAATGATATTTATTATTATTATTCTATTCTAAACGACAGTGTTTACTGTTTATGTCCTCTAAATGGTTCTTCAAACTTTTCTTAATTTCGCAACTTTTAGTACAACTTGGATATAAAATTTTATATCTCAAAAATTTATTTTCACTAGATTTTTTTATTCGAAATTCTACTTTTTATTAATCATCTTCTTAAAATTTAATTACAAAAGTGCAAATTTTGTACATTAAAAATTAACATTGTCCATTAAAAAAGAAATTAATTACATTAAAAAAAATCTAATTGTATTGTTTTTAATTATAAAGGATTTTAAGAAATAAAAATTAATATAATAAAAATAAATTCTAATTATACAAAAAATATTTCCATTACTTACTGATTTAACTCTTTCATGTCCCAAACAATATTTCAAATTCGATGACGCCATTCTTTTCTTGTCATTTGTTGAAAATTAGTTTACCTAATTATTTACTTTCTTCGCGATATTTATTTTAATTTGGTTGTTGTTAAATGTGTTTCGTTCACCATTTAATTTAAATTAATTAAAAAATATACTTATTCACGATAAAAATAATAAATAATTATTACTCTGAAAGCAATCGTATCACTTATTATTTTCTTTTTGATAGAGAAACTGAAATATATACCTAGTCAAATATAATATATAAATGAAAGAAATCAAAATATTTTCGAGAATATTCTCAAAGTGTAAATTTCCGCTTCTGCTTTAGGAAAAATTAACGTTGTACTTTAAAATTTATAGATAATCAAAAAGTGAACCAAAATTTTAATTTTAACTTTAATTCATTAAAAATCAAAAATTGTTAATTTTTTAGATTAAAATTTTATTTTATTTTTAAAATACAAAAATTTATTTTTCATAATTAAAACTTTTTGAATTATCAAACGTAATTTTCTAAAAAAAGAACGTTAATATAAAGAGCGAATTTTAATTCAATTTTTATTAGTAAATTAAGAAAGTATAGTTAGAATCAGTAAATTAATTCAGCAAACTAATTTGTGTAAATTAATTAAGCAAACTAGTGTAAATTATTTTGGCAAATAAATTTAATTAATTAACTTAGCAAATTAAATTTGTAACTTAATTTATCAAATTAATTAAGTAAATTAAATTAGAAAATAAATATTGCAATTTAATTAGGTAAATTAAATTAGAAAATAAATTTCACAAATTAATTAAGTAAATTAAATTAGTGAACCACATTAGTAATTAATTTAGTAAATCAGTTGAGTAAATTAAATTTGTAATTTAATATCAAAAATTAATTTAGTGATTGAATTTAGAAATTAATGCAGTAAATTGATTTAAAATAACAATTTATAAAAGTAATCTATTACATTAAATTAGTAAATTATATTCGTAAATTAAATGACTAGTTCAAATAACAACATAAAATCAGTAAATTAAACTGTTCAATACAATTAGTAACATAATTTGGCAAATTAATTTAGTAAATCAATTTAGTAAATTAATTTTGTAATTTAATTTAGAAAATTAATTTAGTAATTGCATTTAGAAAATAATGCAGTAAATTGATTTAAAATATTAGTTTATAAAAGTAATTTATTACATTAAAAAAGTAAATTATTAAATAAATAACTTAAATAACAAAATTAAATGAGTAAATTAAATTGCTAAATAACATTAGTAACATAATTAGAACGTTACATAAGTAAATTAAAATATTGTCAAAATTGAATTAAAAGAATTAAAAAAATTAAAATTTTTATTATATTTCTTTATTACTTTCGTATAGTAATTTTTTATATTTCTACGAATGTATGAATATATAATATATGTTGTAAAAATATTGACCTTCAACAATTATTATAATCATGGGCGGCTGTACAAATTATTATCAAAAAAAAAAAATTAAATAAATAAATTTAATTGTTCAATAAAATTAGTCTTACAAGGAAATGTAGTAAGAATCCTACAAAAACCACACAAGGACCTTTCTAAAAATTTCATTTTTCCACCTTTGTTTATTAACAATCATTTTAGGTTATTTATAACCAATTGAAAAATGTAAATAATAAAAATAAAAGAGATAAACAGAAAAATACTATTATTATCATTTTTTAAATGAAGGACATAAATTTATTAAGTGTAAAAGTAATTGCAACTAAATAAAAGTTAACTCACAAAAATAGAAGAATTAAAATTTCATAATCGAACCCCGAACGCCATCAGACAATCAAAATTTGGGAAAAACGAAATAAAAAATTTATTTCTTCCAAATTTAATAATTCTAATCTTCTAAAAATTACCTGAGTTCTAGTAGGGGCTGAGCCCTACACATTCCTAAAGAATACAAAGTTTTATTTTAATTTTTAAGTAGTAGCACCCTCACCCCATCGCCATCAGACAATCAAAATTTGATAAAAACGAAAATAAAAATTTATTTCTTCCAACTTTAATGATTCTAATCATCTGAAAATTACATGAGTTCTAGTAGGGGCTAAGCCCTACACATTCCTGAAGAGTACGGGATTTTATTTTAATTTTTAAGTAGTAGCACCCTCACCCGAACGCCATCAGACAATCAAAATTTGATAAAAACGAAAATAAAAATTTATTTCTTCCAAATTTAATAATTCTAATCATCTAAAAAATACCTAAGTTCTAGTAGGGGCTGAGCCCTACACATTCCTAAAGAATACAAAGTTTTATTTTAATTTTTAAGTAGTAGCACCCTCACCCCATCGCCATCAGACAATCAAAATTTGATAAAAACGAAAATAAAAATTTATTTCTTCCAACTTTAATGATTCTAATCATCTGAAAATTACATGAGTTCTAGTAGGGGCTAAGCCCTACACATTCCTGAAGAATACGGGATTTTATTTTAATTTTTAAGTAGTAGCACCCTCACCCGAACGCCATCAGACAATCAAAATTTGATAAAAACGAAAATAAAAATTTATTTCTTCCAAATTTAATAATTCTAATTACCTAAAAATTACCTAAGTTCTAGTAGGGGCTGAGCCCTACACATTCCTAAAGAATACGGGATTTTATTTTAATTTTTAAGTAGTAGCACCCTCACCCGAACGCCATCAGACAATCAAAATTTGGTAAAAACGAAAATAAAAATTTATTTCTTCCAAATTTAATAATTCTAATTATCTAAAAATTACCTGAGTTCTAGTAGGGGCTGAGCCCTACACATTCCTAAAGAATACGGGATTTTATTTTAATTTTTAAGTAGTAGCACCTTCACCCGAACGCCATCAGACAATCAAAATTTGGTAAAAACGAAAATAAAAATTTATTTCTTCCAAATTTAATAATTCTAATTATCTGAAAATTACATGAGTTCTAGTAGGGGCTGAGTCCTACACATTTCTGAAGAATACGGGATTTTATTTTAATTTTTAAGTAGTAGCACCCTCACCCGAACGCCATCAGACAATCAAAATTTGGTAAAAACGAAAATAGAAATTTATTTCTTCCAAATTTAATAATTTTAATCATCTAAAAATTACCTGAGTTCTAGTAGGGGCTGAGATCTACACATTTCTAAAGAATACAAAGTTTTATTTTAATTTTTAAGTAGTAGCACCCTCACCCGAACGCCATCAGACAATCAAAATTTGGTAAAAACGAAAATAGAAATTTATTTCTTCCAAATTTAATAATTTTAATCATCTTAAAATTACCTAAATTCTAGTAGGGACTGAGCCCTACACTTTGCTGCAGAATACGGGATTTTATTTTAATTTTTAAGTAGTAGCACCCTCACCCGAACGCCATCAGACAATCAAAATTTGATAAAAACTAAAATAAAAATTTATTTCTTCTAAATTTAATGAATCTAATCATCCAAAAATTACCTGAGTTCTAGTAGGGGCTGAGCCCTACACATTCCTAAAGAATACAAAGTTTTATTTTAATTTTTAAGTAGTAGCACCCTCACCCGAACGCCATCAGACAATCAAAATTTGGTAAAAACGAAAATAAAAATTTATTTCTTCCAATTTTAATAATTCTAATCATCTAAAAATTACCTGAGTTCTAGAAGGGGCTGAGCCCTACACATTCCTAAAGAATACAAAGTTTTATTTTAATTTTTAAGTAGTAGCAGGTTCACCCGAACGCTATCAGACAATCTAAATTTGGTAAAAACGAAAATAAAAATTTATTTCTTCCAACTTTAATGATTCTAATCATCTGAAAATTACATGAGTTCTAGTAGGGGCTGAGCCCTACACATTCCTGAAGAATACGGGATTTTATTTTAATTTTTAAGTAGTAGCACCCTCACCCGAACGCCATCAGACAATCAAAATTTAGTAAAAACGAAAATAAAAATTTATTTCTTCCAAATTTAATAATTCTAATCATCTACAAATTACCTGAGTTCTAGTAGGAGCTGAGCCCTACACATTCCTAAAGAATACAAAGTTTTATTTTAATTTTTAAGTAGTAGCAGGTTCACCCGAACGCTATGAGACAATCAAAATTTGGTAAAAACGAAAATAAAAATTTATTTCTTCCAAATTTAATAATTCTAATCACCTAAAAATTACCTGAGTTCTAGTAGGGGCTGAGCCCTACACATTCCTGAAGAATACGGGATTTTATTTTAATTTTTAAGTAGTAGCACCCTCACCCGAACGCCATCAGACAATCAAAATTTAGTAAAAACGAAAATAAAAATTTATTTCTTCCAAATTTAATAATTCTAATCATCTAAAAAATACCTGAGTTCTAGTAGGGGCTGAGCCCTACACATTCCTAAAGAATACAAAGTTTTATTTTAATTTTTAAGTAGTAGCACCCTCACCCCATCGCCATCAGACAATCAAAATTTGATAAAAACGAAAATAAAAATTTATTTCTTCCAACTTTAATGATTCTATTCATCTGAAAATTACATGAGTTCTAGTAGGGGCTAAGCCCTACACATTCCTGAAGAATACGGGATTTTATTTTAATTTTTAAGTAGTAGCACCCTCACCCGAACGCCATCAGACAATCAAAATTTAGTAAAAACGAAAATAAAAATTTATTTCTTCCAAATTTAATAATTCTAATCATCTAAAAAATACCTGAGTTCTAGTAGGGGCTGAGCCCTACACATTCCTAAAGAATACAAAGTTTTATTTTAATTTTTAAGTAGTAGCACCCTCACCCCATCGCCATCAGACAATCAAAATTTGATAAAAACGAAAATAAAAATTTATTTCTTCCAACTTTAATGATTCTATTCATCTGAAAATTACATGAGTTCTAGTAGGGGCTAAGCCCTACACATTCCTGAAGAATACGGGATTTTATTTTAATTTTTAAGTAGTAGCACCCTCACCCGAACGCCATCAGACAATCAAAATTTGAAAAAAACGAAAATAAAAATTTATTTCTTCCAAATTTATTAATTCTAATTACCTAAAAATTACCTAAGTTCTAGTAGGGGCTGAGCCCTACACATTCCTGAAGAATACGGGATTTTATTTTAATTTTTAAGTAGTAGCAGGTTCACCCGAACGCCATCAGACAATCAAAATTTGGTAAAAACGAAAATAAAAATTTATTTCTTCCAACTTTAATGATTCTAATCATCCAAAAATTACATGAGTTCTTGTAGGGGCTGAGCCCTACACATTCCTAAAGAATACAAAGTTTTATTTTAATTTTTAA